CTTAGCGACGTATACGACAAGCTTGTTTGTTTGTTTATTCCGATCCCCATTAGTGCTTAAAAGCACTATTCTTCCTGGGGTCAATAAAATAAAACATAGATAACAAAACTTTGTACATAATGATGATTACAAATAATAAAGTAACTTCAAATCAATAGAGTAAATTCAAATCAATAGGAGAGGTCAGAGGTCGACCTAAAAAAAAAGCACAGAATAATCTGAACATAATTCAGAGTTGTATGTAATCAACAAAGGTGCCAACAAAATTAACAAAGGTATAAATAACTTAAATAACTGAATAGAATATAATGTCTAACTGATCATAATTCCAAAGAAAAGATAAATATAACAAATTGATCAGCCATTTAAATAACTGAAAGGTAGCAGCAGAGACAAAATAATATACAAAATCAAATAAAACATTCTATACAATAAGAGATCAGGCTTAGCTTATGCTTGTTACCACCATAGGCTCAATGGTGAGGATTTGCTTTGAGTCATAGCCCAATCTCTTATTCTTGTTTTGAATACAGCACAGTCGGTTGTGATTAAGTTACTAGGTAGTGTGTTATACGCTTTAGTGCATCTGTAAAGAAATGATCTAGTCAGGGCTTTGGTTCTGGGTTTGTAGTCTAGATATCTGTAGTAACTACAGGATGTGTGTGACTGCTGTGTTACTGTTACAGGAAGGTGGTGTGTGTATCATGTGAGGACAGGATGTGTGTGACTGTGTTACTGTTACAGGAAGGTGGTGTGTGTATCATGTGAGGACAGGATGTGTGTGACTGATGTGTTTCTGTTACAGGAAGGTGGTGTGTGTATCATGTGAGGACAGGATGTGTGACTGCTGTGTTACTGTTACAGGAAGGTGGTGTGTGTATCATGTGAGGACAGGATGTGTGTGACTGCTGTGTTACTGTTACAGGAAGGTGGTGTGTGTATCATGTGAGGACAGGATGTGTGTGACTGCTGTGTTACTGTTACAGGAAGGTGGTGTGTGTATCATGTGAGGACAGGACCCTGTGTGTCATGTCCACCAGTGGAAGAAGACTGCTCCCAGCCCTGGTGCTGAGTCACCATGCCGCCATCTTACACTGTACTGGCTACCACGTCATGGCTGTCACTACTGCTGGTGAGCTGTCTGTATGGTGAGTAGTCCATCTTCACTATAGATATACGTATGATTTGTGCTTGGACTAGGCAGATTGAGTGCAAAATGAAGGGATGTAGTTTTCTACACGTATATCAAAGGTGTTGAAATTTGAGTTTTGCTATTCTGCAGTTGCAAAAAACTACTCCATAACAAACCAACTACAAAATGTTGTTTGGCAGTGTGGTATTTACATTGGGTCCAAATCATCAAATTTGTACATTCTTACATACTATGTACTAGTGTGTATGTTGTACAATCTCATAGTACATGTATCTGTAGCAAATTCTCACAGTATCTGTTTGAGCTACTGTACAATCATGTATCTGTTGTACAATCTCACAGTATCTGACAAGTGGACTTTCTTTTTTGTTACAGGAATGTTCAAACTGCAAAGGTGGTCATAAAAAATGAATCTTTACTTCCAATAATGTCAGGTGGGTTGAATCCCTTTTTTTTAGAATAATATTATAATGATAATAATAATATTATAAAAAATGTAGAGGACATGTTTGTCTTCCTCTGCAAATGCCCCCTTAGCACTTGTGCATCTTTAAAAGTCACACCAGTTATTAATTGTGATATTCTAACTTTGATATGTTTGTTAGGCCACACCAATTTAATTTCTTGGTTAACGGATTTTTCTAGAAAAAAAATGGAGCGGGCGGGCGAAAAAAATAAAAACAGACCTTGGCATCCTATCATGGCCCAAAATGGTACGATTGGAGCCATGAACCAGGCTGGTTCAAAATTTAAACAATGAAGTTTGAACTAATGATACCACTGCATTGAAAGAGGGAATAACCGTTTTTACTGTAAAAACTAGGAAATATGGGCATTTTGCAGTTGATTCTGATTTTTTTCTTTCAAATCAGAAAAAAATGAAGCGGGCAAACCCGTTAACCAAGAAATTAAATTGGTGTGGCCTTGTGGATCATGATGTAATATTTTGTAATCAGCCCCAATTCTTCCACACACTCCATGTGTAGCTACACTGTCAGACAAAACTAGCAGCTGTGCAGCTGTATGATTGAAGCCATCTTATACTTCTGTCATACTTCTGTATTATTTGACTTTCCATGTCTCTTTGATTTGATTATTTATATTTCTTTCCATTGATATGCAAACTCCACTTTTTGATTACTACCTTTTGATTATCTACCATTATGATTTGATATCTGAACGATTATAATTACTTCTATGTTACCTTTAAAGTTATTTTATTTGATTGTTGATGAGTTAGTTACAATTTCGACTTGTTCACGATAAGTTTATCTATTTTATAGTTGACCTTTGTTAGTTCATCTTTAATCTTTTGTTATAATCATAATGTCGTGTAGTTTTGTTGGGGTTATCCCCCTAGGAATTTTTGAAAACCGCCAATAGGCGACATGTATATCCTATATTAGATATTAAATAAACAAACCATAAACAAACATCTGTGCCTGCACCACGTGTTCTCCAGGTGACGTAGTGATAAAGACGTCCAGTGTAACGGAGCAAGGTGTGCCTGTCTTCAGCCTCTCTAACGGCAAAGTCTACACCTTTAGTCATGCACTAGGAACATGGTGAGCAGCCACATCTCCACTTGTGTGATCATGGAGTTAGAAGGACGAGTAGTTGGAACAGAATTAGTCCCCTTTCAGTGATGTTCAACTCGTGTGAAGAAAGCAATTGACATTATGGTGGTAGCTGGTCCAGATTTCTATAGAAGTCCCGGCAGGCCACCGGCGTAATTTACATGGTTTACACATGTACCCCCAAATTGAATTCATGAAGATGGCACAGCCGGGATTGGGGACTTCTAATGGAGTAGGTTGTGGGTGGTGGTGGGTGTCACGGAAGATAAAGCCCTTCCCAGAGGATATGTACATATGCACACAAACCAAGCTTACAGCTGCAGACTAAGTTGGCTCATTGGTGGAAGTGAAGGAAGTTAGAGGGACCTTTCTTTGTAGCATGTAGAAAATAAAATACTTCAGAAAATATTGTTCAAATTAGGAATTCCTTCCAAGGCATTGTGTATATTTTCTGTGGGTATTTCTGCTTGCACACATGTATGCTACACCAGCAAGCTGGTCAGTAACCAGTTTTATGTCATACCTGGGCCACGATTACATTTGATACGGGTGTTCCGGCCCGTGTGATAACTAGCGGTACGGCCCGGGGGTTCTGAACGCGTACGGCCCAGGCTTCCAAATGTTCCATGGAACAATTCGAACGCGTTTCGCCCTAACCGCGTGTGCCACTTTCGAATTTCGAAAACAAAATTCGGACGTTGGAATTGACGTTGTTGCAGTTTTTGGGTTTAGGGACACCAAATTTTCGCTCATTTCGCATTGAAAGGTGTGTTTTCTTAGGTGGGTATGACATAAATAAAATACAACACGGTGTAATCCGCATCACCCTTGGTCCCAGCCCTCCCGCGGATCGGATCTCCCTCCGGCCTTCGGCCGTCAGGCGATCCGACGCGTGGCCGGGCTGGTACCTCGGGGGATACGGAATACACCGTGTTGTATTCTATATATCTCCACAGGTCCACTCTGTCAGATGTCAACAACTCCCTGCAGCAGTGCTCAGACCACCAGACCGTCATGTCTTCCTTAAACTCCTCTTCTCAGGTCAAAGGTCCCCTGGCATCATTACAAGGTCATGACCAGAGGTCAGTTTGTCCACTTACTATGGTTAGAATATCAAGTACAGACCAGAGTCATACTGGAGCTGACTCTGTGTCATGCCTTATTTTGGAAATTATTTGATTGATACCAAATGTGATTATCATGGTAACAGTCAGTATTGTATAATGCAGCACATGTTGGATCTGGCTTATTGCAACCCTCTATTTTAAGGGGGCACACCCCAGTTTATTTTGGGTCTCAATTCGATTCTGCATACCCTCAACTCTAGCGACCGTCTCTTTCAGGAAATACCTCTTAAGCCAAAACACTCTGTTTGCAAATGAAGGATATCCCTCTAGCTACGAGAACAAAAGAATATTCTTTCACCTCTCACATTTTAGTAAATTTTTGGGGGAAAAAGAATTTTTCGATGAAAAATGATGCCAAAAATTGGTCATTTTCACGTGGAATTAAACCCATCACCCAGATTTTAGCCACCGATATGACGTATATGGTCAGAAAGAGAAAACCCTTATGTATTATTAAGAAAAGTATAAAGAAAATCCTAACACTGAGATTATCACAATGGCCCGTCGCGCGAGGCATAGCTACAGCACCCCCAGAACGCATACAAGGCATATCTAGGTCAAACCGAAGCACCGCGCTCAGGGCGGAAGGACACCCGGAAGTAAGCCTCGGCCCCGAAATCAATTTTCACCCAAAACACGCCACTTCTTACACTTTCCAGCCATGTTAGTAGTTAATCCCATTTTGCAGCAGATTATGAGAAATGTAAACTCAAACATGAACCATCGGAACCCCTTCGTCACTTTTTTTCCGGGCACTACAGTGGACCCCTGTCGCGGAAGAATTGGTGTGTGCACCGTAAAGCATTTTCTGTCTAGCACTGTGTTGTTACTTCACCAACAAAGGAGTTAAATATTGGGTGTGTGTGTGTCTGTGTCCGCAATGTCCCTATATTTGTACACAATACAGCAGTACCAAATACTGGAATTATTTGTATGAGACTAGAAATGTTACAGGTCAGTAAATCAGCCTTGTTCTTTTGAGCAAAGACATGCAGAGAGTTACAGATTCAATTTACTCAATCAAACAAAATCGTACAAATAAAAAGCAGGAAATGCTGATGCATCCCTGAATTATGTATTTGATTTTTACAATTGGTTAAAAAAAACTAGACAAGCACACAGACAGTACATGCATGTATATACAAATACATGTATGTACAAACACCATTCACTCTACAACAGGAAATAGCAGACATGGGTTTTCAATATCAGCCATTATCACTGTCATAAATGTTAAAGTGTCACTGTATAAATGACAAAGTCTTCATGATGAACAGCCTAAACTTTTGAATCATCTGCCACCATTCACAGGTCAGGTCGGCAGGCAGGCAGACTGTTCCGGGCCAATCATAATTTACAACAGGCAGTTACACTGGGCCATCTAGAGGACCAGGTAGGTATTGCAGTCCAGGTGCTGCATGCGATAATATAACCTCAGATAATGAATGACTGAAGACCTTTATTGTACACACATACCCACTGGGTTAAGTACAGGTCACAACACAAGGATGGAATACAGCTAACGTTACATAAATATACATTGTTAAGTAGCTATCATTAAGTAATTAAGTAAATTCGGTTTCTTCTCGTTTCTTAGTAATGGTAAAAAGGTAAGAACAGGTATGTTTTAATTATAGAAGGTTTGTCTAAGCTCATTATAAATATGAATCTGTACAGCTTAGATGTATGAAGAAGGGGAACATAGATTGTATCAGATTGTAAAGATCTGATCTCTCTTTCTTGTATAGTTTACATTCTGCTACAAAATGTTTCTCATCTTCGATTCTTCCAAAAAATCAAGTCCATGAAAAATCAAGGTTATGAAGGTTATCAAAATGAAGGTTATATTTTCAGCAGTGTATGTCTGTCAACAACATAACTCAAGAACAGGTGGATGGATTAGTTGCATATTTGGTGTGACCCTTGGTACTACCGTTACGGTAGCTTTCCATATGATACTGCAGTGGCAGTTTTGATATACCTTGTTGACATACCTTTTGACTATATACCATTATGATTTGATATCTGAACGATTATAATTACTTCAATCTATGTTACCTTATTTCATTTGATTGTTGATGAGTTAGTTACGATTTCGTCTTGTTCACGATAAGTTTATCTATTTTTAGTTGACCTTCGTTAGTTCATCTTTAATCTTTTGTTATAATTTTAATGTCATGTAGTTTTGTTGGGGTTATCCCCCCAGGAATCTTTGAAAACCGCCAATAGGCGACATGTAATTCCTGGTTAAATAAATAAACAAACAAATTAACAATCTCATGTTCTGAACCACCCATGGTTGTGATTTTTTTTAGTGGCAGATATGAACACTGCCATGGCTGGGAGTAGGTCTGAGCAAGGTCAGCTGTGGTTGGCTGGTGTTCAGCGAGGTTGGCTACTGTTCTGTTGCGTCTCAAAAAGTGTTTCAAAATGTTCAAACATGAACATTGAAGTATTTAAAAGAGGATAACTCAAGAACATCATTAAACATAATTCATTCAAATTAGGACCTCATTTGCATAATTTGTGAGGAAATGCTAGTCTAAGAATGGCCTTCTTTGTTGTCAATGTGTGGAGAACATGGTGAATTGATCTGCTTAATGCTAATGAGGATCTTATTTGCATAATCAATGAGAAACATTTACACTCTGAAAGGTTGACATCCTTTGGCGAAGGTTTGAGGTCATCTTTTAAGGTCTCGGACCGGAGTTTCCTTCCGTATTCGTAGCAATTTGACACCCCTGGCCCGACGGGATGTCATTTCTGTAATAAACGCAGGTCAGTATTTTTCACTCTTTCGGTTGAAAGGGGTGCCGTGCCGCTTATCTATACACTTGATTGATTTATTGTGCCCCCAATTTATTTAGGGGTAAATAACTTGCACATTAAAGTACACTTTTTACGTAAATTGACCTTTTTTTCATCATTTTTAACCATGGCTGCATGGAAAAAACGAATTTTCCCAGGGTAACGGCTTAGTACTCAAAGAAGCTCAGTACCTACAAAAAATGTAATGTTTTCGGAATTTAGATTAAATTAGAATCAATGCAGTACGTTTACCGCTATCTTTGATGACCCAAACACACCCACAACGCATATAGAACGCACCATCCCGGCGGTCAGGCGAAAAGGCCACATACAATGTAACCATCCGCGCGGACTAATACCAGGAAGTCTTCGCTGGACCACCAACATTACGCCACCTATAAAGGCTACAACTAACAGGCTTTTCAGAAAATACAAAGATATGTACACAGATATCATATCAGGGATATAAACATACGAAACAAAGTCACGTTTCCGGCAATTTACTGCGCACGGAACCTTAACTGTTCATCATGTTTTGTTGTGACTTGTACTTAGCCCTGCATGGCAAAGATGTGCAATAGAGGTTGCTATAAATTCATTCATTCATTATCTGTAAAAGTAACATACAGCCTGTACATACATTATGTAAGTGAGGTATTGCCTTGTAACACTGTGTAATGTTGCAGGTGTCTGCAGCCCTCATGCTGAGGTCCAGTGCAGAGCATAAGTTCTGGCTCCTGACTTTGGTCAGATATCTGGTACAAGAAGGTGTGTATGAACTTGTCTTGTTCATCATGGCAGAGACTTACAACATGTACATTTGTACATGTAGGGACCTGTTTGGCAGCCTTTCTGCCAACTGGATTCACTTCATGTGATTCTATGTATGTACGTCGCTCCTCATAGCAAATTTCAGGTCATTGGATCGCTTTAACAGTCTCATGTTAGAACCAAAATTATATACAATTTGGTCTGGATGCCCCGATGTGAAGTATGACCTACAGTAAAGTGCAATTTTGCTAGATATAGTTAAATGTTCCACTGAATGATGTGACTGTGCTGCACGTACATGATTGTACACATGTACACTGTATGCCTGTGCAGGGTTGGAGGCCCAGTTGAGAGAAATCTGTGATGAACTGCTGGGTCCTGTCACGGCCCAGGGCCAGCTGTCCAAGGCCTGTCTGTGGGAGCCAGACGTCCTGGTAAGGACTTACTAGCTAGGGAGAGATATTAATTTGTATTTGCTTGCAAATGTGGCCATTATAGTATACATGTGGCATATTATGTACTGCTTTCTTGTTCTGTGAAGTGGAGGGATATATACATGTATGAGGGTTTAGCTGTCTCGCTGCCTCAGCATTACAGACAAAAGTTTGACAATGTAAAAGAAGAACCTTTACTTCACTGCCATGGCTGCTCACATCAGATAACTGAACAGCAGTAAACATGCAATAAAGAAGTGTGGCAGTTTTGGTAAGAGGACAAGATGGAAACAGCTGCGACAAAAATCATGAATCTGTCCTCATTCTTTAAAACTTCATGTGCACAAAGGTTGTTTTTTTTAGTCTCAATCCCTCAGTTTACATAATATTAACTGTTACACATTTTTAACCCAATGAAAATAGGTCTGTGTGACATAATGCATAATAAAGTTAGTTCTAGACATGAGACGGTGTTGAACCATGTTTGACCGGTGGCTTGTCTGTCCGGTGCAGGGTGTGAGTAAGCGAGCGGTGTTGAGTGAAGTCCTGCAGGAGGTGGGCAGTAACCTGCGGCTGCAGCGCCTGTACACAGAGTACCAGGACCAGCTGGACATGCTGCACAAACAACCCTCAACATCACCCTGAACCAGACAGTCTACAACACTTGGATAGAACTTAGATACAGGGGTTTTTCTAAATAGGGGAATAAGGGAACTGCTCCCTCATGTAACCAACCAGCTCCTTCATATCAATTTTCAGATTGAACCCTAAGTGGCTACTTTAAAACACCATTTAGTCTTTCTCAAAAAGATCTTTTTCCAGCAATACAACACTATTCTAGCATTACAAACTGTGTTACTCTTATTAAAAGTCTCCCCTTGGTCGCTTCGTTCCTTGCAATGCTTGCCATCTGCTCCCTCGTGCTAAATTTTTCCAGAAAAACCCCTGTGGATATACAATGTACCTGTAGTACAACTAATTCTAGGACTGTGAAAATGTAATGTTCAAATGAGGGGAGCTTAAATTGTGCTTACTAAAGTATGACTAACAATGAAAATAAAGTCACATGATGGAATTGAAAGAATCCACTGTAAGTTTTTATAGAAACAATAACAGACATTTTCACATGAGGTATGTCTCTCACTACCTCAAAGGTGTGTTTTAAGTCTGGACAGTCCTAAGCTTCACTGACAAAGATGACAGTCTGCATTCTCATACTCACTGAATAAATAGTAGACGAGGACTGCAACAGGTGATAGGAAGCTACATGTAACTGGCATTAATTGGTGTGTGCTGTACCCATTATTGAATGGTGAATATTTTGCAGTTACTTTTACCATAATGATTTCTTCTAGCAGTGGTGTGTGTCTTTGTGTATGTCTGTGTGTCTGTGTATATGTATGTGTGTGTGTGTGTCTGTGTGTGTGTGTGTCTGTGTGCTATATGTATGTGTGTGTGTCTGTGTGTGTGTGTGTGTGTCTGTGTATGTGTGTGTGTCTGTGTACTATATGTATGTGTGTGTGTCTGTGTGTGTGTGTGTCAGCCTATCTGGCAATGTGCTAACTACTTGAAAAGGCTTACATTTTTGGCGACGCCTTTGGGGCGGAGGCATTTGTGTAAGTACTACGATCGCTTTGAAAGAATTTCAAAAATTGCACGAATGCGTTCCCCAGGGAATTGGTTTGGAGGAAACCTTCGGCCATGTGGTTTTTGGATCAAGCAGGTAACTTACACGGGGTACCCACGTGCCACCCATCCAGATGCCTGGCATGATTAATTACTGGTCATCAGTCTTCTCCCCACACCATGGGCAGAGAGCACAGCTGTCTTTGGCCAAAGACCACATTCAAACAGGTCACAGAGAGAAAAGAAATTATCCGTCCTTTTGGAACCCACAAAAGGTTAAAAAAAGTCAAAGGAGTAACAACTTCAGACCAGACATAAAATCCAGTCTCTGGTGGAGGATAGAGTGAAGTGGAGGATGGTTTTCAGTTTGGTTCTAGCGGGAACTCGACCAAAGTAAAGTAAGTAAGTTATGTCATCATAAAATCTATATTGCTGGGGAAGAACGGCTGATTCCTCCTATATGTGTATTTGGTATATTGCCCCACACCTCCTCCACCCAGCCTGTAAATTTCACTACGTGCATGTCTTTATAAGGCCACACCAATTTAATTTGCTGGTTCTCGGATTCGCCTCTTCGTTTTTTTCTGATTTGCAAAAAAAAAAAATTTGATTCTGGTCCTGAATCAACTGAAAAATGCTCATGTTTTGCCCCCCAACAGTTGAGGAAAGTCCTTTTCTTCCTAGTTGTTACAGTTTTCCCATCTATCATTGCAGTGGTTTGATTAAAAGTTCAAAATTCAATGTTTAAATTTTAACCCAGCCTTTTGTGTTGACTTCATGG